CCTCCTCCCCCTCCTCCTCATTCTCCACCTCCTCATTCTCTGCCTCTTCATCTTTTTTCTCTTCATCTCGGGCCTCTTCGTCTCCTCCTCATCCGAAACCCTCCTCATGCTCCTGGTGCCAATTCCTCGTCGTTTTCTTCCTCCTCCTCCACCTCCTCCTCCTCCTCCACCTCCTCCTCCTCCTCCACCTCCTCCACCTCCTCCTCCTTCTCCTCCTTCTCCTCCTCCTCCTCTTCCTCTACCTCGTCGTCGACCTCATCCTTGTATTTCTCCTATTGCTACTTCTCCTGCTCGCCGCGTTCCTCCTTGCATTCTACCTACTCCTCGTGCTCCTTGTCTTCCTCCGTTTCGCAGTGTCCCTCCTCCTCATTTTCCTCCTCCTCCTCCTCCTCATTCCCCCTCTTCCTCCTCCTTCTTTTCCTCCACCTCCTCCTCCTCCTCCTTCTCCTCTCTCCTCCTCCTCCTCCCTCCTCCTCCTCCTCATCATCATCATCATCATCATCATCATCATCATCATCATCATCATCATCATCATCATCATCCTCATCATCATCATCATCATCATCATCATCATCATCATCATCATCATCATCATCATCATCATCATCATCATCATCATCATCATCATCATCATCATCATCATCATCATCCCCCCCCCCTCCTTCTCCTCATCCTCCTCCTCCATTTCTTCCTCCTCCTCCTCCTCATCCTCCTCGTCTTCCTCCTCGTCCTCCTCGTCCTCTTCCTCGTCCTCCTCCTCGTCCTCCTCGTCCTCCTCATCCTCCTCCACTTCCTCCTCCTCCTAATCCTCCTCGTCTTCGTCCTCTTCCTCCTCGTCCTCTTCCTCGTCCTCCTCCTCCTCCTCCGCATCCTCCTCCTCCTTCTCGGGATGGTCCTCCTCCACCTCCTCCTCTTCCCCCACCTCCTCCTAATCCTCCACCTCGTTCTCCTCCACCTCGTCCTTCTCCTTTTCCTCCTTTCCCTCCTCCGCCTCCCTGCTCCTCCTCGTCGTCCTCCTCCTCCTCCTCCTCCTCCTCCTCCTCCTCTTCCCTCCTCTTCTCCGCGTCCTCCGCCATGCTAGAGATACCTCTGCACTCTCGCTGCCGCGTACAGGAAGCACCCTCGACAAGTATGCCCTCAGACAGGTAGCGTTTGAGCCTGATCCCACCTCCCTCCTTCAGTAAACGAGAGCCCCGGATAATAACATATACCCGCCCCCTTTTCCCCTGAGAGTTGAATGCCCTGGGCCAAAACAGAGTTGGTCGGGGAAAAGGGGCGGCGAGGTCGAACTCCGCGATCGCCCGGGAAAATGCGAATCTAAGTTGCGATCCCCTTATGTTGAATAGCAGCACCATCTCGAGCGTGTGCAATACTTTTGCATACGCATATACACCTTACAACTGTTTATGTGGATGTGGCGATCGGTAGATGCCTATATGTACATATGGTTATAACCATTACAGCTCTCCTGACTCACGAACGTGTGGCAGGGCTGTGGCACTCTCACCATGGCAGAACTCCCAAGTCACGAAACTGTGGCAGGGCCATGGGATCCTCATCACTTCAACTTTCCCAAATCACGAACATGTGGCAGGCCCATTGAATTTGAGCCATTTCACCTTTCCCAGCTCACGGACGTGTCGCAAGGCTCTGAGGTTCTCATCGTTTCAGTTTTCCCAAGTCACGAACGCGTGGCAGGGCCATTCCTGGGACTTCGGAAATTCGATTTGACTTGCCGAGTACCCGAGTCCCTCTTGGTGCGTGGAACAGTTCGAGGTCAGTACGCATCTTACATGCCCAAATTGCAACTGGAAGCCTGCTGAGGACCTTACTTCCCGAGGACGTCGGCAAGCTGCAGTGCGCCACTTTCGTGATTGCGTGGGGGCGGATCCCCCCCGAGCCACGGCTGACCAGGCCAAGGCTGCCAGGGCTGCGAGGATTGCCATCCTGAGGCCCGAGCAGCACGCCCGGCAGTCCATCCTGAAGTACAAGCGCTGGCGCTCGGCTCTCGAGCCCCCGGCCTTGAGGGACCAGTTCTGCGAGATGCGGGAGGACGGGTTCAAAATGGTTGTTTCTTCTCGAGGAATCGCTCGCCGTCAGTGGCCGTGCACTCGTTGTGGAGTGTTCAAGGAGCTGGGTCAGGCCCGCGCCTACTGGCCCTGCAGCGCGAGGGAGGACAAGCACACGTACGGCATGAAGCAGATCGCGCAGGCTGGCCTGGGCGCTGGTCGTGGCGCACGTTACCATCGTAAGAAGCAGGAGACGAAGATCAAGTGGAGGAGCTCGCCACAGGCTGTGGCTCGGCGCCGTGCCCTGGCCTCGACCCCCGAGGCGCGGGCGCGCCAGCAGCAGAAGAGGTCGGCTCCAGAGTACAAGCTGAGGAGGAAGACCTACGACAGCAACTACTGGCACAACGTCCGCGCGCCGAAGCAGAAGAAGAGGCGTGTGGCCTGACAAACCAGGCGTCTCCCGAGCTGCCGACGCAGTACTACGTCGTCTGCGGCTTGGGCAGGGCGCCAGGTCCAGAACTGGGTTGCTTTTGAATGCAGTTGGAATACATCGAGTTTTTGTATGCAGGATCAACTTTTCGGGGGTGGAGACGCTCCACTTCATTCTTCAAACGCCGTGCTGTCGGTCAACCTGACGATGGCGACGAAGGCGCGAGCCACGAAAGTTTTTCAGCGCCCTATGCACGACAAGCGTCGATTCTGGCCTGGCAGGAGATCCGATTGGGTACCGAAAGGCCAGCTTGGTTGATTGCAGAGGCCCGCCGTGCGGGCTATGGTATCGCGTGCAGCCAACCACCGAAGGAGAAGTCCCACGGTGGAGGCGCCTTGAAGGAGGGCGGCACCGCCATCCTCTGGCACAGAAGTGTGGGGAAAGTGAAGGTCATCCGCAACCCCGCGCTGGCGGACCGCGCCGTCGCGGTGAGGACCTCCAGCGCCGCGTATGTCTCCTTGTACGGCCCCGTCAAGTTCAATGTTCATTGGATGGAGATGGCCCTCAACTGGGTTACCACGCTTGCGCAGGACCAGGCGGTGTACGTCATCGGAGATTTGAATTGGAAACGCTCATATGATTGTTTGCTGGGAGCGGGCTGGTCTATGGCAGAGGTCAGCACTCCCACCACGCTGAAGGGTACGGCGCCACCACGTGACTCCGATATCTCATGTTGCCACAGCGTTCTTGGAAGGTATTCCGCACCATGGGCTCTTGCAGTACCGAGTGCCTGTGGAAGAACCTCGACGCCCGACCACAAGATTGCGACACACAACACACTACGTTGGTCATAAGCCTGCCTTGGCTGTCAGTGCCGAGATCGATGAGCTCTGTGTGTGTGTCTTGGTCAGCAAATTCCAATGGAAAGTATTGATGCTCCTCTTCTGGCGAAGTGGCGCAGATGGCACCAGCGTGCGCAAGAATATTTGCAGCTGGCCACAGTGCGCCAGTGGACAGCTGCGGAGAAGCGGGCTGAACGACCGAAGGGCTCTGAGCCCTCGTCGCGGCCCACCGCCCCTGGCAAGGCTCACCGGCTCACGGAGCCCACCGCTCTCCGACGGCTGCGGAGAATGCATCGGAAGCTTGTGGAGCAAGTGCAATACCACGCCATGGCTGCGCAGTTTGTGTCTCCTCGTTGCCATGCGAGCTTGGCTGAACTGGCTATGGATGGCAATATCTTGGCACCGAGTGGTATACCAACGTATGCTGAGGCTGTCGAGTCGGTGAATGCAGGTATTTCTAAGCAGATGGTTTTCTATCAAAGCAGAGTGGCAGAGAATGGGCTGCAGTTTTTCGCTCCTGGACCTCGAAGGCGTCGAGCGCGGCTACCCCCATGTTTCGAGCACCTGGGCCCGCGGCAGGGTTCAACGCGCAGGCCATGCGTGACGAGCGGAGGCCGCACTGGCAGCCTGACGCCGACACGTACCCCGAGCACGTCTACCTCGACAACTGGAAGAGGTGGGCCGACGCTGTGGAGTTCCCTGAGAGCTCGAAGCCACCTGATTGGTTTCCCACGTATGAAGATTTCCTGGGAGCCATCAAACGGACGGCGGGGGCTGCAGGTTTTGACGGATGGTCAGCAAAATAATTAAACCTACTATTGACTGTGGGACCGTTCTTGATTGCTGAGCTGTACGAGCTGTGGATTGAAACTTCCAAGCATGCTATCGCCTGTGGAGGAGCAGTACATCACGACCTATTGTTGTTTCTGTTTCCGTGGAGGGTGGTCGGCATTCCAAAGAAGGACGAACATGAATCGCGTCCCATCAGCGTGGCTTCAACATTATGCCGAGCCTGGCTCACGGCGCTGGCTGCCAGCTTGCCGGGTGCGACGGCGGAGCAATGGGCATGCAGGCGTGGATCGAGTGTGCTCCATGCTGTGAGCGACTGGCTTGCTGAGGCTGGGTCTGCAGGAGTGGACATGGACATCAACAAAGCCTATGACAACATCAATCACCAGATGGCAACTGAATCTTTTCGCCGCCAACGGCTGCCCGCATCGACTATGGCCATTTGTGGCATGGCGTGGCGTGGCCCGAGGTATTGTACCGTGGGCAATGAGATCGCCGAGGCCATCTGGCCCACGCGGTCTCTTCCGCAAAACGACTCGATCGCGCCAGGGGGGATGACATCCGTGTTAATCCCCTGGTCGCCGAGCCCCGCGAAGGGGTGGGCCTTCATGGACGACAGGAGCCTCGTGGCGCGGGGTCCCAACGCTGCAGCCCTCTTGCAGCAGGGCCTGGAGGCCACGCAGCGCTTCGACTCGGAGTGCGGCTTCGTCGAGAACGTGGCGAAGCGGCAGTCGTGGAGCACGAGTGCGCCTGCGCAGGTCGAGCACCTCGGCCTGGTCGCAGATCCTACGAATCCAGCCGTGCCAGTGCTACCACAAGGCGGCTGGGCCAAGCTTGAGCGGGCGATCCACATCCTGCGCTCAGTCCCAGGAGCACAGGCGGTGCGAGTACGTCTCGCGGCCGCTTTCGCCAAGCCCTTGTGGGAATGGGCATGTCCTCTTGTCGCACCAGTGCCTGATGCTGTACCGCGACAACGTTTGCTCGCTTGCATACGTTCTCAATGTACGTGGTGGTGTGAGGCCCGATGGTGGGCTCAACGTATCCAGCTTCATCCACGGTACGGATCCATCTTGCTGGCAGCCCGAGCTGTGGAGAACCCAAACCTACGCTGGTCTCAATGGATGGCGAATGCGGTATCGGCCCATTTTGAATTCATTGGTTTTCAAGTGGTGGATTTTGTGCCTGAATGGGGATTACAGTTGCAAGTCCCTGGGGGCGCCGATCCACGTATTCGACGAGCAACACAGCGTCTGCGGCGAGACGGAGCTACTTTTTGGACGGCTGATCCTTCAACGCGTCATGTTCTTCGTGTTGTTTGCAGGCTTCACGTTCTGAGTAATTGTAAGACATCCCGCAATGATGCTGAGAGTGTGATGCAGGTTGATATCGAAGCTTCTTCCGACAACGTGTAGAAGAGTTTTTGCAATCATTGAGTACCGAGCAGTTGGTGCTTGTGGAGGTGTACCGTTCAGGAGCCTCCAAGACGCCCACTCGTATGATGATATATGTGATGTGCCCTTGCTGTCTGCACCCCATGCCATCTATGAGGCATTTGTGGCAGGAATGCCCAACATTTGACGAGCATCGTCAGGAACTTCAACGTCTTCACCATCTTGCTCCTGGTTTTTGGGGCGCTCAGCTTCGAATCACATCAACGACTGGATGGGTGACTTTGAATGCAGCCCCGACCCTTTCTCGGCGAGCTGAAATGCAAGTCGCGGCAGTCAAGTTGGGAATTTCTTTTCTCGAGGAGGCTTTCGCGGGCAAGTGCAGTGTATGAACTGATCATCGCCAATCGGGAGAAGTGCAGTGTATGAGCTGATCATCGCCAATCGGGAGGCCATTCAGAGTCATGTGAACGCCTTCAGCGTGCACCCGAGTCCCAGGAACTCCTGGGGGAAATCCTGGGGCATAGCTTGGCGAATTCCTGGGAAGTCGGGAAGTCGATTTGAGTCCCAATGGCCCAAGCCGGCCCAGACGACGCTCAACACGGCTCGAAGATGGCCAAGGAGGGCCCGGCCCCACGACTGCACACAAAGCCCCCAAGACGGCAAACAAGAGCCCGAACGCCCCCCATGAGAGGCTCAAGAAGAGGCCCAGGAGTGGGAGCCCGCAGAGGCCCTGGGAGCCTTCCCCAGGAGATGGCACCCAAGACCCTCCACTGGCTCCAAGAGGCCCCCCCGAAGGCCCCCCAATGGCTTCCAACGCCCTCCAGGAGCCTCGGCAACGCTCCAAGACGCCGCCGCCTGGGCCGCCTGCGGGCCCCGAAGATTGTTCTTATACAAATCGCAAACGCCCAACATCTTCCACAGCTCTGATGTAGTATTGAATCCGCATCCCCTCAAGGGGGCGTTGACGGCACCCATCGTCAAGGCCAGAAGTGCGACGACACGCAACGAAAATGTCACGAAAATCGGCCTGCAGGCCCCGAAGATGCCGCCATGAGCTCCAGGAGGCTTCAAAGTGCTCGGGTGAGACCCCCCCAGAGGCTCCCGAGAATCCCAAAAGCCGCCCCCCCAGCTGCACGAGGGGGGCCCCAAACAGAGTCCCGACAACATTACAAACTGTCCCCCTGTCCTCGGTGTCCTCCTCATGTTCCTCCTTCCTCTCACCGTCGTCGTTGTCCATGTCATTATCCTCCTCTCTCATTCACCGAATCCCCAGATGAGAAGGCTCACCGTTCATCCGCAACGTTACTCTGGAAGCATCTCGCTTCATGCGCGACGCGCAACGTATTTCAGTGCTCCATCCCGAGAAGCACAGGAGTGGTGAGCCACGTGCGCGAGGTAGCGACAGCTCGGCGGCCACTCCTCCCACGCACCCAGGCACGTGAAGGCAGTCCATGCGCCACGAAACAGCCAGCAAACGCCTGGGAAACTCTGACGAGGCTTCCAGACGCCCACCAAGACGCCCACAAGGCCTCACTTCGTCTGGGGGCCGGCGGAATGCGTACGCCTCTTGGATACTATGTCGGAGAACACATGGTCTACCTTCCTGCCCTTCTGCCTACATCCCGGCATTCCCAAACTCAAGGGCCAAGTTGCATGGCGCGAAGCGCCAATGCAGTCTTATGTACTTACATGTGTATAGATATACGGAGAGAGAGGGAAAGAGCGAGGGAAGCATTACTCTCAATGCCTCTCTCTCACTCTCCTTCTCTCTAAATATCTCTTTCTCTCTCTCACTCTCTCTCGCTGTCCGACTTCCCCATCTCTCTCCCCCTCTCTTTCTTTCGTCTCTCCCCAAGTATATCCGTGACCTTGGCACGGGCATGGGGCCACGTACGCGGGCATCGTGGTGGCAGTCAGACTTGTGCGGCCCAAGGGGGGGGGAGGGGGCATGGGGCTAGAAACGGCGACGATCTTAACCAGTGCTGTTTGGAAACAGAATGTCTATTGAGGGACCGCCGTTAATACAGCATTCCATCACCGAAGGCGTTGTCATGACCCACTCCTCTGTCATGATCCACAACTCTACCCATGGCGAATGTACACGAAAGCTGGGGCTCAGCAGTGCGCTTTTCGGATTAAAAGTCCGACAGGCTCACCTTCACCTGTCTCTCCTCCACTTGGGCCAGCTTCTCTTCCAACTTCGCAACCCAGCTGGGTCCTCTGGGGTTGGCCTCTGCTGCCTCGTCATCGCTGGTGACTTCTCCGTCTTCCAGCACAGTGGCGGGACGCTCGCCGCCAGCATCGCCGATGCTGATGCCCGCAACGAGCACCTCTTTGATGTCGCCGACCAGGCTGTCATCCCTGTGGTTCGTGTACGTACCGACCTTCTGGACGAAGAACCCCCTCCTATTGAGCAGGGACCGACCGTCCCAGCATTCCTATAGGCCTACCACGAAATCTTCTTAGAACCCAGAAATGTTCTAACAACGAGAACAATGCTCTTATAACATGAAGCCGATGTGGGATAACAAAGCAGTCCCAGCCAGAAATGTTCTGACAACATCTCGTGGAAGCCACAACAGATAGTTTGGTAGGCCTATAGGCACGCCAGGACGCTTCGCAACCGCTTGATCCGAAGGATCTCATCGTTGTCGAGATGCCTCGCGAGGGCCAGCTTCAGGTGCCGGAACCTGGAGCGCCTGGGCACCACCAGCCTGATCTCGACGCTCTTCTGTCGGCCACACGCAGGGACGACCCTGGGCAACTAAGAGCGACCTTTGGTGCGCGGCCTGTTCAGGGCCTCCTCCTCCTCCTCCTCCTCCTCCTCCTCCTCCTCCTCCTCCTCCCCCTCCTCCTCTTCCTCCTCCTCCTCCTCCTCCTCCGCCCCCTCCTCCTCCTCCTCCTCCTCCTCCTCCTCCTCCTGCTCCTCGTGGGGCACTAAACACAAGCGCGCAAGACGCTACCATCGCACCGCGCTCGGCGATCGGGGGGACCCGGTAGGCCCGTGCCAGGAGGCCACTCCGGCGAAGGATCACTCTTGCGCGCAGCCGATTCTGGATGCCGTGGCGCACCAGCACCTCCGCCGCCCCTGCACTCTGCGCCGCGCTCCGGGTAGGCGGCGGCCCCGGGTCCTGGATCCCGAAGCGCTCCAGGGCACTCCTCCTCGTGTCGGCGGCGAGCGGGGGGGGAACGAGAAGGAGAAGGCCTTCTCAGAAGGCGGCGGGACGTCTCAGAAGCCCTCGCACCTTCTGAGAAGTTTTCTGCCTTCAGGGAAGGCTTCGAAAACCTCTCAGAAGGCCGGGGGACTTCCGAACCGTCTGAGGAGGCCTTCTCCTTCTTACTTCCCCCCCTCGCTCCCCGCCAATCTAGACGCACGACGCGGATGCAAGGGCCTTGGAAGGCCATGTCGGCACTTTGCGAGCGGGGCGCGGCCAGCGAATGCGGCCAAGGATGGGCCGAAGGGGAAGGGTGCCAGGGTGACCTTGGAAAGTCGCTCATCCATTCTATGCGGGTGACTGCACGGGGGAGGGAGAAAGGCCACTTAGAAGGGAGCTGCTTCTGAAAGGCGCCGGCCCTACATCTATAGGGCCCGCGCCTAGAAAGGCCTTCTAAGAAGCGGTGCTTCTGAGAAGCCGTCCCACCTCCCCCTACACCCCTCTGCGCGTGGCTGATCCTCCTCCCGAAGCGGTGCAGCACGAAGTACTCCTGGTCCTCGGCGTCGCGGGCCACGCAGAAGTCCTCCTCGTGGGGAAGCCCTCCATTCAAAAGGGTAATTACCGATGCCGCTGCTCCCCGGGCCTCTTCTCCCGCGGTGTGCGTCCTGACCAGGACTTCGGGGCGCATCCGGCGGTGGCGACGCGGGCCCCCTGGGAGGCCAGAAGAGGAGAAATGATGAGGGAGAAGGAGGAGGAAGAGGAGGAGGAACCGGTGGAGGACGGAGGAGGAGGAACCGGTGGAGGAGGAGGAGGAGGAGGAGCCGGTGGAGGAGGAGGAGGAGGAGGAGGAGGAGGAGGAGGAGGAGGAGGAGGAGGAGGAGGAGGAGGAGAGAGGAGGGAGGAGGTACTAGCGATGTCCGACTCCTGGCACTCGGCGCGGCCGCCCCCGTTGAGCACGTCTGCGGCCTGCCGCAGCGAGGTCACCTCGCGCGTGTCGAGCAGCTGGGCCACGCCCTCGTACGCGTGCTCCTCGCCGTCTCCACACAGCGCGAAGGCGTTGCGCCACCACCACACCGGCGCGGCCGGGGGCGGCGCCTGGAAGTCCGCCCGCTCCCTCGGCGGCAGCGCCTCTGGCGGCTCCTCCCGCCGCGGAAGCGCAGGTCACTGGATTCAGCCATGATGGTAATGGCCACAATCGTAATAATACGAACAGTTCGAAGAAGAAGAAGAAGAGGAAGAACACGACGAATCATAATAATGGAAGTATCAATTATCAGACTAATAATCAAGTTATGAATTCAACATGTAAACCTAATCATAATACTAAAGCCATGTAATACTAACAATCATACTACGCATACTTATTACGCTGTCGAGAAATCCCACATACTGTCTGGAGCGATGATAGCTGACATGGAACATGCGAGAATAATGCTGGTGGCCGTTGCCCCACCGGTGCCGTTGGTGACGCCGGTCAAGCTTTGGGAGCCTGAGGGCCCTGAGGGCGTCGAGAAACTGCCACGCCTGCCACGCTTTCCGAAACGAACCGTACAGAGACCTAGCTCAGGGACCGCGTCGAGAAACTGCCACCCCTGCCATACTTTCCGAGCCTGGACCGTATAAAGACCGCGCTCAGGGACCACCTCCTGCGCACTCCCTTTGGTGTGGAGAAACTGCCCCCCCTGCCACACTGTCCGAGTCTGGACCGTGTAGAGACCGCGCTCAGAGACCACCCCCTGCGCCCCCCCTCTGGTGTCAAGAAACTGCCAATCTTGCCACACTTTCCGAACCTGGACCGTATAGAAACCTGGCTCAGAGATCACCTTCTGCGCACCCCCTTCTGGTGTCGAGAAAGGGCCACGCCTGCGGTGCCTAAACGAGAGGCGCGCGTAGCGGCCGCGGTGAGAAACAACCCCCTGCGCACCCCTTTGGTGTCGAGAAAGCGCCACGCCTGCTATGCCCTGGACGAGAGGCGCAAATAGCGGCCGCGTGAGAAACCACCCGTTGGGCACCCCCTCTGGTGTCGAGAAAGTGCCACGCCTGCAGTGCCTAGACGAAAGGCGCGCGTAGCCGCCGCGGTGAGAGACCACCCCCTGCGCACCCCCTCTGGTGTCGAGAAAGTGTCACCCCTGCTATGCCTCGGACGGGGGGCGCGGCGGTGAGAAACCACCCCCTGCGCACTCCCTTTGGTGACGAGAAAGTGCCACGCCTGCTGTGCCTTGGACGAGAGGCGCGCGTAGCAGCCACGATGAGAGACCACCCCCTGCGCACCCCCACTGGTGTTAAGAAACTTCCACCACTGCCGCACTTTCCGAAATCACCTCCAGCGCACCTCCATTACGCTGTCGAGAAAGTGCCACGCCTGCGGTGCCAGAGACGAGAGGCGCGCGTAGCCGCCGCGGTGAGAGACCACCTCCTGCGCACCACCTGGTGATGAGAAAGTGCCACGCCTGCGATGCCATGGACGAGAAGCGAGCATAGCGGCCGCGGTGAGAGATCCCCCAGCGCACCAACATTATGGTGTCGAGAAAACGCCACGCCTGCTATGCCCTGAACGAAAGGCGCGCATAACGGCCGCGGGAAAGACCACCCCCTGCGCACCCCCTCTGGTGTTGAGAAAGTGCCACGCCTGCTAAGCCTCCCCCGAACCTCCTTATCACCCGAAGGATGGTGGTATAGGTGTATATATACATATGTTGCGCAAAGTCCAACGTATGTTTTTTTCGGACGTTTGCGAGGAGGCACTTTGCCAGTCGTGGAACGCGCTCGGCGAATGTTAGCGCCTGCCCGATCCCAGGCGCGGCCAAGACCGACCCCTTCCGTTCCAGCACCTTCGCCCTCGCGGCTGCAGAAGCCTGACGGCCTGCCCGCGTCCTGGACGCAAGGCGAGGCGATGGGCGTCTCACGGCAGGGGCCGGCTTGCTGCTGGACGTCGCGCAGGGGTGTGCGGATGGGAAGGGCAAGATCCCCAGACCCCCTCGCGTCGTGAACAAATCGTGACGGGAGGTTTTTCTAAATGTTCGGCCTCTCGGGGCCATCAGTGGGCCTCGGGACTGTCAAAAAACGGCTCAGGATGAAAAACCGTTCTTGGGGAAGGGGTCCAGACTTCTGGGGGACGACGTCATGAAAAAATCATGATGTCGGGGGTCTGGGTCACGCGGCATTGCGATGCACAAAAGCCAACGTGCTGCTGCTTGAAATTGACATGCGTCGTACCTGCGGGCATCGAAGATAGAATCGCACTGCTTGCGCCTCACCCGCTTCATTCCCCAACCAATGCTTGCACTGAAAGGGTCCTTGCGAATGTTGAGGGATTTGGCGAAAATCCCAAGCCGACTTCGGTAGGCGGCTGGGTTCCTGGGTTCCCGGAGCTCCCGGTTCCGCGTTCTGGATCGATTTGGTTGGGCGCCTGGGTTCCCGGGTTCCTGGTTCCGGGGTCCCCGGCAGCGTGATGTTGGCTGGGTTCCAGGGTTCCTGGATCTGTGGGCGGCTGGGTTCCTGGATTCTAGGTTTCCGATTCTGGGGTCCCAGGGGTCAGAGTTGCGAGCAGAGTTGACCGGAGGGATTGGAAAGAGAGAAAGAGAGAAACAGAATTTGCGGCCACTTGTAGATGGGATGGGGAGGCCACACTGAGAGGGTGTACAGTACATAGAGAGAACGAAAATCAGACAGCATAGGGCGAAGAACTTGGGTATAGAGAGACAAGAAGAGATATACCCAGAGAGAGAGAGAGAGATAGAGAGAGAGACCCCCCATACACATGCTCTGCATACAGATGTGCATATCTAGTTGGGAGTGGGTCTGGAAACATAGTTGGGTGGGTCTAGAACAACAGTTCAGAGCGAGGTGTGAGGGTCGACCACATGCACAAAAGCAAGACGTGCAAACAAGATGTTGCACGACATAAGGAATGAGAGAGAGTGTGTGAGAAAGAGCGAGAGAAAGAGAGAGAGAGAGAGAGAGCGAGAGAGAGAGAGAGAGAACGAGAGGGCAGGCGAGGAGCGCGTGCAACAATTGAAGGAAATCCGCTGCTCGAGATTTTCGCTGGTGTTATCTGGATTTGTTGCACTGCTTCCAAGACTAGCAATCGCTACCCGGGGGTTGGGGGGGGGGTACAGCGACGCGTGGGCGGAGTGGGACACGTCGGAGCGGGGGTGCGCTGCGATCGAAATTGTGCGCGCGTAGACACCAGCATGTGTGGCGGACGTCTACGTACGATCGTTGCCGACCAGGCATCTGCGATCGTTCCCTCCCCGGGTTGGTGGGGGTGGGTTGGCCCAGGCTACGACCGTGATGCCCCCGAGGATAGAAACAATCTCTGAGAGGAAGTAATACTAGTTAGCAATCCAGGCCCGTGGCAATACGAGTTAGCAACGGATGACAAGGAATTGCCGATCGACTCGTCTGGCGTCAGAGTGCTAAAAGCGCAGAAGGATGGGGCCCGGAGTGGAGTGATACGAAGCAGCCCCAAATGCAACAAGACCCTGAGGGGAAGGATAACCCTGAGATCCGCTGTTGCGACATAATTTCAAATTCACGGGAAATCACGCCCGGAGCCCTGGACCGCACCTTTCTGCATCATTCTTCGACCTGGATCGATATGTGAGGGCCCCGGGGTCCGACAACGAGCGAAAACGCTTGGTGTGAAGAAGTAAATGCAGCGCCAGGATCTCAGGGAAGGGGGGAGGGAGAAGGCGGAGGGAGGGACAGGAAGGGAACTGCCCAACCACTGCCGCGCGTCCTGGGCTCGCTTCTGCTCTGCTGAGACGGCCCAGGTAGCAGAAAACTGAGCCTGGCGCCTCAGCCCGTTCACACCGCACAGCGCTGGGACCTCTGGACCCACCGCCTGGGGTCAGCCCCAGACCTCCGACGTTGTGATCTTTTCGCAACGTCGACCCCAAAGGTCTGGGCCCGTTCCCCGGGACCGGTTGTTCATGCTGAGTCGTTCCCAACCATCCTGTAGTGTTTGGTCCTCGGTTTGCAGAGCCAGCTCCCCGCGTCTCCTCTCCTCCTCTCCTCCTTGCTCCCCCTTCCTCTTCCGATCCCTGCCCCTGCCCTCCGAACCAGCCAACCATTTTGGCACACCCCTCACACGTTTCGTAGCCCAATAGGGAGCCCCACCGAAGGCTTAACTGTCAGCGTTTGCATGCACCCACCGCACCCATCTTGGCACACCCCTCAAACGTGTCCACAAGGAGCCTCACCGAAAGCCCAAATGACAGCGTTCGCATGCGGCCACCGCACCCATCTTGGCACACCCCTCACACGATTCGGGGCCCCACAAGGAGACCCACCGAAGGCCCAAATGCCAGCGTTCGCATGCGCCCCCCGCGCCCATTTTGGCACAACCCTCACACGCTTCGTGGCTCCATAGGGAGCCCCTCCGAATGCGGTACATACAACGACGGTATTCACAACTGCATATGGTTGGGTCCTTCGCCAGGCTAATTTTTTGACGGCGCTGGGGCCTGGCGAGGCCCCCCAGAGGCCGAACAGAGCGAACAAAAGCAAGTCGTGGTGATTCTTTCTTAGCGCGAGAGGGGGCTCTGGGGCCAGGCCGCCCGCGATCCTCGGCTGCCGCCGCCACGGGCGAGCCAGGCATCGCTCCGAGCGGCCAAAGATGCTGGGCCTGTTTTCCACCACCACAACCAAAAGCTGGAGGGGGGGAGGAGGAGGAGGAGGAGGAGGAGGAGGAGGAGGAGGAGGAGGAGGACGAGGAGGAGGAGGAGGAGGAGGAGGACCCCCTCCCCCTTCTACTTCTGGCGGTGGCGGTGGAAACAAACCCACGAAAAGAGGGGCCGGCGCTCGGCCTGGGCGGAGCAGCGTGGGGCAGGAGCGGCGGCGGATATGGGCTGCGGCAGCTTCGCGGCACGGAGGGAAGGGCGGAGGGCGGAGGGCGCGGGGCGGAGGGCGCCTCCATCCTGCAGCCTCGTGCTCCGTCCTCTGCCCCTTCCTCCTCCTCCTCCTCCTCCTCCTCCCTCCTCCTCCTCCTCCTCCTTCCTCCTCCGCCCCCTCCTCCTCCTCCTCCTCCTCCTCCTCCTCCTCCTCCTCCTCCTTCTCCTCCTCCTGAGACCCTGAGACCTGATGGCAAGAGAATCCGTCGGATGCTGCTATTGTCTTCCTCCTCATCCCTCGCATCCTCCTCCTCCTCCTCCTCATCATCATCCCTCGCATCCTCCTGGAATCCACTGCGGGACTGGGGCGAAGAAAACTCCATCCTGCAGCCCCATCCTCCGTGCCTCTCCTTCTCCTCATCCTCCTCCCCTTGCTCCTGCTCCTCCTCCTCCTCCTCCTCCTCCTCCTCCTCCTCCTTCGCCCCTCCGTCCTCCTGGAATCCAGGAGGGGAGGAGGGGAGGAGGGGAGGAGGAGGAGGAGGAAGAGGAGGAGGAGGAGGAGGAGGAGGAGGAGGAGGAAGAGGAGAAAAGAAGGACACCATGGAGGATGGGGGCCGACAAGGCCCCATCTTTCGTGTGGACTTCGCGCCGTGTGAGGCCCTCTGTGGGGACTCGGGGCTCGACGCGTTCAACGCTGGATGTCCGCGCCGGCGTCGCAGCCGCGTCGGGTCGGCGCAAACCCGCAGAGTAACAACTATTAGATGTGCTTTCCTCTCAAAGGGGGACATGGGGGATAACCAGGAAGCACCCGGCGGGTGCGCGACCGTTGTTGTGTGGTCCCGCGAGGCTCGTGACGGACACAGGCGGTGCCACGCTATTCACCCATAGTCAAAAAGGTCGAGCTGGTGGTGATAATGACGATGATGATGATGACGACGATGATGATGATGATGATGGTGATGATGATGATGATGATGATGATGATGATGATCCCGCTCTCCCAAGGGGGGCCGCTGCCGACGTGCACACTCCCCCCGCTGCTGCTACATTAGCCCCTGCTCCCCGCTCGCTCCCTCGAGCGCGACCTCTCGCGCGGCGGGAGGGGGGACGGGGCGCCGAGGTCGGCCTCCACCCCCCCTTTGGTGGGGTGGAGGCCGCGCTTCATTCTGCGGAGCCCTTCGGCCTGCCAGCTCGAGAGCGGCCGAAGCGGGCACTCGTCGCCGAGTGCCATGACCCGGCGACTGCGGCAAAATCCGCCGCACACCACGCAAAAGGCGAGGTCCCCCGTCCGCCACATCCTGTGCGACGGGTGGAACCTCGCGTTCCACCAGGGGGGGCACGTTTCCACGAGACCAGGTCCAGGCCCAGGAGGTCCCCGCGACCCACCCGACCTCGCCCCCTGTGGACCCCCTGGTGGAAGAACCCCCTCGCTGGGAGGGTTCTCGACCGAACTACCCTGCGCTGGAGACTGCTGCTCCTGCTGCTGCTGCTGCTGCTCCTCGTCCCCTCCTCCGCTGGCCTCCCCCCCGCTCGCTGCGGCGGCTCCTGCTACGATGCCGAGGAGCACGGCCGCGCCTGCGCCTGAGCCCTCGGTTCCCGAGGCGGGCGGGGGCGGCGGCGGCGGGGGAGGGTGGGAAAAAGCGGGGAGAGGACGGCCGCTCGCCGCGCATCCGAGGCAGCACCAGATGCGCCTCGACCCGACGAGAGCCGACGAGCCGTGCCTCTCGCACGCGCGGGCTGAGCAGCGGCCGCACGGTGCGATCGAGCGCAGGCGGCAACCAGGAGCAGCACATCTAATTAGCTGGAGGCCAGGCGCCGCGTAGCCGTCACTCGCCGTGAGCCAGCTGCTGCCCTCCTGCAGCGCCAGGCCGAGCATCCTACCCAGGCTCTCGCCCCACTCGTCGGCGATGCTCGCAGCCTCGACCAGCGCGGGGAACGTGGGGTGGATGCTGGCGCCCTGCTTGGCCCTCAAGTCGGCGAGCTTGTTGCCCCGCCGCTTCCACTCCGTGGAGGACCCGACCAGGACGTCGTACATCGTGGCGTGTCCCTTCACCTTGGTGATCTGAATGGCGTCCCTGCCTATGTCGTGGACCCGTTGCCAGAAGACGGCCCACAGGGCCCTGTACGGCCTAGACCAGCATAGGCACCAATCCTCGCCTGCCTCCCAGCCGTCTACGAGCAGCTGCGAGTCGCTGAAGAGGTGCACGGGCGGGAGGCAGTGGGCGAGCCCGACTCCTGGGCTAGCGGCCATGGCACTGGCCCCAGGATCGACGAGATCTCGGCGCCCGTGTGGTCCGTCGAGCAAGCTGCCCAGCCCGCTCGCGCCAGAACTCGGTCCTGGGCGTGGGACGCCGCGCCGTCCAGGAAGACCTCGCCATGGAGTGGCTCGCCTGCCCTCGGCCCCGTCGTGCGCACGATGCGCGCCGTGAGCGGCAGGGGGAGGTCGCTGCGCGGGTCCTTGACCAGGCACCGCGACCAGATGGCGTGCTCCGCGTCCGAGTCCAGCGGGCCGCCCGTGTCGTAGAAGTAGCTGATGTTGAGGTCGTCTAACTTCCACTGCCTGCGGGGGCCGTCCAGCGTGGGACAGGCCCAGACCAGGTGCCTGACTGTCCCCCTCTCCTCGCATCCAGCTGGGCAGCGCCCCGAGCTCGCGAGCGGGGGGTCTGCCAAGGCTCGGCGCTGGACGGGCCAGAGGCAGCCCACGATGGCGTTCCTGGCCGAGGACCACCGCGAAGCGAGGGCGTGGTCGGCGTACTGCTTCGCCAGCCGCTTCCTCAGGCCGTTGATGGCCGCGCCGCCCTTCAGGTGGCCCAGCAGCGGGTCGTGGCTCGCCACGTCCCTCCAGAGCTTCCTGATGAAGGCGGCCTGGACTTCGCGGTGGACCATGTGCCTGTCGGTCTCGCCCAGGTCGAGGATCCTCCCAAAGTCGTCCGTCCAGCCAGCGCCTGATGTGGTCGGCCCTCCAGCCGAGGCGCACCGCGGCAAGGGCCGCTGCGGAGGCTGGGCCCCTTCCCGCCAGGCTCTCTGGCCCGATGGCGGTGAGGCGCTCA